TGGAATCAAGATTGCCAGGAGAAATCTCAATAACCTCACATATGCATATGATATCACCCTTATGGCAGAAAGTGAAGAAGAAATAAAGAGCCTCTTGATGAAAGTGAAAGAGGAGAGTGAAAAAGTTGGCTGAGAACTCAACATTGAGAAACTAAAACTATGGCATCTGGTCCTATCCCTTCATGGCAAATAGATGGGGAAACAATGGAAACAGTGAGAGAATTTATTTTTTAGGGCTGCAAAATCACTACAGATGGTGACTGCAACCATGAAATTAAAAGATAGTTGCTCCTTGGAAAAAAAGCTATGGCCAACCTAGACAGCATATTAAAAAGCAGACACATTACTTTGTGAACAAAGGTCCATCTAGTCAAGGTATGGTTTTTCCAGTAGTCATGTATGGATGTGACTACCTGATCCAACAATTGTACTAATGGGCATTTATCCAAAGAAAATGAAAACATTATTTTGAAAATAAAGCACTAATCTGAAAATGAACCCATGTGTTCACTGCATAATTATTTACAAGAGTCAAGATATGGAGGCAACCTAAGTGCCATCAGTAGATAAACAGATGAAAATATGTGTGTGTATACACACACACACATGTATGCATATGTATTTTATTTATATGCACATATATGATGAAATATTAAAACCTGATGAAATCTTGCCATTTGTATCAAGATTATTAATGCTAAGTAAAATAAGTCAGAGAAAGAAAATATCATATGATTCACTTATATGTAGAATCAAAAAAAGAAAATCATTGATAAGAGACTAGATTGGATGATTACGAGAGGCAATAATTAGCGGTCTGTTAAAATGGGAGAAGGTGGTGAAAGGGACAAGCTTCCAGTTATGAGGCAAGTGAGGTCTGGGGTGTAATGTATAGTGTGGTGAATATAGTTAGCAGTATTATGTCACATATTTGAAAGTTCGTAAGAGTAGAACTTAAAAGTTCTCATCACAAGTGAAAGATTATGTGAGGTAATTGATACTGTTATTATTACTGTGGTAGTCATTTTCCAACATGTACAAATTTCAAATCATTATCAGTCCAGTCACTCAGTCGTGTCCAACTCTTTGTGACCCATGGACTCCAGCACGCCGCCCTTCCCTGTCCATCACCAGCTCCTGGAGTTTACTGAAACTCATGTCCATCGAGTCAGTGATGCCATCCAACCATCTCATCCTCTGTTGTCCCCTTTTCCTCCTGCCTTCAATCTTTCCCGGTATCAGGGTCTTTTCAATGGATCAGTTCTTCGCAAAGTGCAAAGTAAAAAGGCCAAAGTAAAAAGTTAATACAGGGGCTTCTCAGGTGGCGCTAGTGGTAAGGAACCCACCTGCAAATGCAGGAGACTTAAGAGACATGGGTTTGATCCCTGGATCAGGAAGACCCCTGGAGGAGAGCATGGCAACCCACTCCAGTGTTCTTGCCTGGAGAATCCCACAGACAGAGGAGTCTGGTGGGGTACAGTCTGTGGGGTCTCAAAGAGTCAGGCATGACTGAAGCAACTTAGCACACAAAGCTAATAATGCAATGTTATTTGTCAATTATATCTTAGTAAAACCTGGAAAATTATTACTTGACTAGGCGCTAGTCTAGACAACATGTCAAGATCCCTGTGAGGCTGCATCTTACTGCATTCTATCAGGCAATGGTCAATTGCACTTTGTCAGACTACTGAGGATGATCATTTCCATCATTTGATTATGGTGGTAGCTGCTAGGAGCTGCTGTGAATGTTATTTATTCTTTCTCCCTCTAAAAGTAAATAGGTTTCATGTGACACTGTGTTGAAACTGTGTATATCTTTTTCTTCCTCAAACTTTTCATGTTTATTTTATCTCTAGGGATGCATAGTGTTCTATTTTATCTAATAGTAATAATCTCTTTTAAAATATTTTGATGTTCCTTAATTTTGCTGGTTGGAGCCCTTTCAGTTATATTCTTTGGACACGCCACCCTCCTCCTGAGCACCTCATTTCTGTCCCACGAGTTGTTCAAGGCTTATTGTACACTTTTTCCTGCTCTAATTCTGGGGCCAGCCCTTTCTCAGAGACCCCAGTTTGGGTAGAGAACAGTATTAAGAAGCCAACGTCTAGAAATTGTTGAGTAGAATAATGACCTTGATGCTTGTCCATTGTTCTCTGCAGGGTGAAACCACTGGCAGTGGGAGCCCTTGTTCTGAGTGAGTCCATGACCTCCCATCTCTTTAAGTCACCTCCACCTGAGGGACAGAATCCCTGACAGGGTCAGGTCTCCGTTCAAGAGCAGGCATGGGAAATAGGGCTTAAGAGCACAATACCTTTATAGGATTTCTTTTTGGTCCACACACTTTGATCATTTAAATGCTTGTGATTAATAGTACTAAATTTATTGAAACTTTTTAATAAGAAAAAATGAACTAGACTGTGGAAATATCATGGAATCTAGGTCACTGAAATCATTTTATTAAACCTAAAAATGCCTGTAATAATTTTTGTTAATAAATTTTTTAATAAATAAATAAATAATTTTTATTAATAATAATAATAAGTTTTGTTAATAAATAATTATAATAGGAGGGCTTCCCACAAGGCACAGTGGTAAAGAATCTGCCTGCCAATTCAGGAGATGAAAGAGATGCGGGTTTGATCTCTGGGTCGGAAAGATCTTCTGGAGAAGGAAATGGCAACCCACTCCAGTATTCTTGACTGGAAAATCCCACAACAGAGAAGCCTGGTGGGCTACAATTCATGGGATCTCAAAGAATCAGACACAATGGAGCACATGCACACACATAGACACACAATTATAATTGTTATAAAAATTATAAAATTATAATTATTATTTAAAAACATAAACAGGTATTTTCATGAATTTTTCTGTTATATGGTAAATTCACTCACCTGAAAGAATAATCTATCCTAAATGCAAATAAGATTTATTACTTTTTTTTTATTACTCTCTTGGCTCCATCTGAATTTTCTCTCTGGATTTTCTGTTGTGCATAAATGTAAGTTGATAGATACGTTCCTCAGGAATCCCCCCTTGTCTCTGTACTTTGTGTTTTCTGACTTCTAGAAGAATTTCTAAAATATTTTACTTTATTAAAATGTTATATCCTTCTACATTATGAAATCTACTCTTCTACTGTCTCCATCATACTTTAAAATGTGGTCATTGTATTTTTACAAGTTGAGTGAAGTTTTGCCACATCAATATATTTCTTTTTCTCTGCCTGTCCAGAAATGAATATGCAACAGTCCCTTAAATCTCATTGAGATTATAAATTAAAATATTTGTGGCAATTCCTGGTATTTTTCTTACTTAAGTTTCTAATGTTTTATGTTTGATCATTTTTCTTTTTGTAAATATTTAAAGAGAAAATATTTGTCTAATATTTGAATATTAAGTTCTACAGATAGTGTGTAAGTTTCCGCTCAAATCTTCCCTGTACAGTTGAAGAAGGAACTCTTCAGATTGATCAGATGCTATCTTACTTTGCTTAATCAGATATCCTAGGTCTTATGCAAATAAGTGGAAGACGGGGAAGCTGAGAAGGAAAACGGAAGCAACATGTAGATGTACAGAGATCATGTCTGTGAGTAACTTTAACCTCTTTTTGGGTTGACTGTGGTAACTAACAGCTTGGAAAGCCCTCCTTCTCTGACGGGCATAACTCATGTCCCCAGGATCCAGCTTTACACGAGCCTCAGGGTGCCTGGCATGCTGTCTGTACCAACTGTAAACTGAACATGAGTGCCTCAGTGACACCTCATCAGCGGAATGTAGCATCCGGTAAATGACTTAGACTAATGAAAGGTGGTCTAGACATGACTTTTCCCGCAGCTCCTCTGCCATCTCAAAGGTCTCAATATTAGGAGCTAGGGACTGATGCTGATGCTGAGACTCCAATAGTTTCATCACCTAATGCAAAGAACTGACTCATTGGAAAAGACCCTGATGCTGGGAAAGATTGAAGGCAGGAGGAGAAGGGGACAGCGGAGGATGAGATGGTTGGATGGCATCACTGACTCGATAGACATGAATTTGAGCAAGCTCCAGGAGTTGGGGATGGACAGGGAAGCTTGGCGTGCTGCAATCCATGGGGTCACAAAGAGTCGGACATGACTGAATGACTGAACTGAACTGAGGGATGATCTCTTATTTCTTATCCTAATCTCTTATTTCTTAATCAGCACACTTTTCCTTTCTATTAGGTAAATTGTGGGTTGGACCTCTCCTCTCTCTGGATTCAATTTTCTCTACAAAACAGTATATAAAAATTCTTCTAACTTTCTGACATATAGAAATCCTAGTTTCCAGTACTGGTATCTGTTTTATTAATGGTAACACATGTTTTTGCTCCTTTTAAAGGAGCAAAAGGGAATGCATGGTAAATGTACAAGGCTCAGAGTACCACCTGAATAAAGTATTTACAATTTGTTTAAAAATATCAATATGTAAATAAATATATAAAGAATCTTCTATCAGTTATTTTGACTATTGGTATAAATAATAACATACCATTATAGAAGTTTATGTTCTGTGAAGGAATATGTATGTCATTTAACACCTAAAGTGATCTCAGGATTACTATGTTCAGTGGATGATAGAATATATGAGATAATAATTACATGTTAATAATTATGCCAAAAATTGTAATAATACCCTAGTTCTAGTGAATGAGATCTTTTTTTAAATGTATCTGTGTTTGGGAAAGAGTTATATCTTTCTTTGTACTGAAAACTATTAAAAATTGGTAATTTATATTCCAGTTAATGTCTTATTTATAGTAGCAGGTTAGATTATAGGTGAAGTTTATATAAAGTGAACTCCTGCATATAAAACAAATACAAATTTTACTTTTCCTTAATAATATGCATATTAAGTATTATTTAAACATAATTATAAAGGAAATTTAGTATATATTAATGTTAACTTTTGAATATACAGTATTTGCAGAGTAACATTAGTTGTTGCATATAAAAAACTAGATTTAATTACAAATATTTCATATTATAATTAACTCTTTAATTTTTGTCTTAAAATGGAAAAAACAGACTATAATTCAAAGCAGTTTTTCATAAAAAGATTCATGTCTAAAGGTAAAATGTCCAAAATAGTTTCTTTCAAATATATGATGAATGTTTAAAGAAAATGTGTAAAAGCATAAGTCAGTGAACAGAAAATAAACTATATAGTTTTGACATAAAATCACATACCTGGACCACAGGATTCACAGAGGATTTCAGACATGGTATAATACTTTAAAGGTAAAAAACACTGAGTTTTCCTTTTCATAGTCCCACTCATAGATACCAAATTTTCTTTTATGAGAGACTTTTGTGAGCTTGCTAAAAAGGTATTAGTGCCAAAAACTTAGCGCATCTCTTTTTTTCATAAAACATGAAGTCCTAAATTTAAAAAATGCAGAGAAGAATATTCAGAAGCAAAACATGTATAATTCTCTGGTACAGAAATTCTATGGGATCTGATAAAACACTAATATAGCTGTTAAACAAGAAAAATGAACTATAAACAATAAATCAGGTGAAGTCTATGGCTGCATAAGTGTACCTCCAGCTTTCTATTTTAATATCAGTTATGCCCTGTAATTCATTCGTGTATTGATACCTGCATGAATTTAATTACTCTTTGGTAATTTCTCTATGTGGCTTCCTGGGTGGCATGGTGGTAAGGAATCTGCCTACAAATGTAGGAGACTCAGGTTTGATCCCTAGGTTGGGAAGATCTCCCCGAGTAGGAGATCGCACCCCACCCCATTGTTCTTGCCTGGAAAATCCCATGGGCAGAGGAGCCTGGGGGGCTAGAGTCCACAGAATCACAAAAAGTTGAACATGACTGAGCATGCACATGCAATTTCTCTATATTTCACTTTTTATAGTCTCCATTAGAATCTTCTTTCAGTTTTTCTTCCCCAACTTTTTGTAGTCCTTCTCTTGCAGTATAACTTGTGATGAGCATTGCATATATAATTTTTAAATTTTTTTTCCCATAAAAATGATGGCCATCTAAAGAGTCAGAATGCACCTTAGAAGTTTTTGTGTCAGTTTCATGATTTGTCTTCCAAATTTAATTACTGTGTTTTCCAGGTTGTTCAAGTCCATCAGTGTCTATGCAGAACTCCCTTCCCTATAATTTTAGTCAAATCCTATGAAATTTATTTCTCTCACATCTATTATTTTTCTTTGTTCCTTTAATAGAGATAATTTAATACTTGTTGCAAGTCACTAGTAATTATACTATTGTAATTTTACCCCTCAAATTCATTGTTCACATAGACAACAGGATTTATACTTCTAAAATTTGGATTTATAGCTATTTATGCCTATTTCAGTTCAGTTCAGTCGCTAAGTTGTGTCTGACTCTTTGCGACCCCATGAACCGCAACACAGCACACTAGGCCTCCCTGTCCATCACCAACTCCCAGAGTCCACCCAAATCCATGTCCATTGAGTCGGTGATGCCATCCAACCATCTCATCCTCTGTCGTCCCCTTCTCCTCCTGCCTTCAATCTTTCCCAGCATCAGGGTCTTTTCCAGTGAGTCAGCTCTTTGCATCAGGTGGCCAAAGTATTGGAGTTTCAGCTTCAACATCAGTCCTTCCAATGAACACCCAGGACTGATCTCCTTTAGGATGGACTGGTCAGATATCCTCGCAGTCCAAGGGACTATCAAGAGTCTTCTCCAACACCATAGTTCAAAAGCGTCAATTCTACTGCACTCAGCTTTCTTTATAGTCCAACTCTCACATCCATACATGACCACTGAAAAAACCATAGCCTTGACTAGACGGACCTTTGTTGACAAAGTAATGTCTCTGCTTTTTAATATGCTGTCTAGGTTGGTTATAACTTTCCTTCCAAGGAGTAAGCATCTTTTAATTTCATGGCTGCAGTCACCATCTGCAGTGATTTTGGAGCCCAGAAAAATAAAGTCAGCCTATTTAAATAATAGCCTATTATGCGTATTTAAAACCAATTAACAGAACCATTTTCAATGAATTACCAATCTGTAGAAAGTGTTGCTTAATCCTTAAAGGTCTTTTAGAGGCAGGTTAACTCACATCTTAATCACACCACTGGATTTCCCTAGTGGTGGTGTCGCTCAGTCAATTAGTCATGTCTGTCTCTTTGCAACCCCGTGGACTGCAGCTTGCCATGTTTCCCTGTCCTTGTTCGATCTCATGTCCATTGAGTCATTAAGGGTAAAAATTACTGCTCTGTCTCAGATATCTTTAATTTTGACTGGATATAGAATCATACAAAACTTCTGATTCTGAAATTCTGATTTAATTGAACTCAGGGTATGATTTGGTACTTGCAGTTTCTGAAATTTCCCTAGGTCATTTAATGTGAAGACAAGTTCAGAATCATTGCTCTATCCCATGTATTTCCTCTCAATTTGCACTTTTATCTAATTGCTTAATTGGCAATATACTCTTGTTGCAGATTACAATTTACACTAGATTATTTAATAGTGAGTCAAGAGGAATTCTCCCTATGTCACTGAATTTATGCCATTTTAAGCCCTTATTTAAAGTATTCCTCAAAGCATGAATTTTAATTTTTTTTTTTAAATACAAGCCCCAAAGTCCAGGGCCTCTCCTTAACACATAAGGCCCATATGTTGACATATGAAATTGAGTTGACTTTCCAGAGAAAGCTAGTCACCTATGAATCCACAGTATCAGGATAAAATGAAATATCAGAGCAAGGATAAAATGTCACCCCTTTGAATAGAATCTGTGAGTTTAAGATCACTTTTAAAATGTGAAATTTAGTAAGTAATTTCAGAATGATACTAGAAAAATCACCTATACTGAAGTTCAGCAAGAATAAACTTACTATGAGGAAACATGCACCAAGTATCACAGCTTTCATTTTCACATCAATGTCTGAAGAGAACTGAATGTCAAAGTTACTATAGCTTGTGAATATTTCTCTCACAATTCCAGTAAACTGCTTAGAAATCTTGCCAACCACATTTTTTCCATCAAGAGATTTAATCTAGATTGGAAGAAAAGAAGAAAGTCTTAAAGAATTCTAGAAAATAAAACTACCTGTAAACTTGGAATATAACAAATACTCTATTAACCTTATGGGACATAACAAACTTTGAAAATTATATCACTTATTAGATGCATATAAATTCATATACACACACACACACAGATAATTGAGAAAACTGTTTCTTTGCTGTAAAGAATTTATATGAAAGTAGCTTTGCTAAAATATTTTAATATTTTTTATTTTACATTAAGACAGACAGTAATAAATGAGTTGGAATTGATCCCAAATAAAAGTTAAACAAGAAAAGATACAGCCATAAAGTGAATGAAATGTTTCTTTGATGAAATTTCTAGAAGTCATCAGGAAGGTTGTACATGAAACTCCTATCTGAATTGAGTTTTGTGACATAAGAAGAAATACATATTTAGGTTTTTTTTTTTTTCTCCTTGGTTCCTGACATGGAGTTCTAGAACTCTTGTAATTTTCTGATTGATAGGGATTATAGGAGAGTCTTTTGTCATAATATGTGTTCTTTGTCCCAAGTTCTTGGCACACATTTGCTAAAACTTTTGGAAACTTCTGAGGAATAAAAGTTTTCTAGGTTAATGAGATGATTGGTGGCTGTGGGCCCTGAAAAGTGAAAGTGCAAGTTGTTTAGTTATGTCTGACTCTTTGTGATCCCATGGACTGTACATTCCATGGAATTCTCCAGGCCAGAATACTGGAGAATACCCCTTCTCCAGGGGATCTTCCCAATCCAGGGATTGAACCCATTGAACCAGCTGAGCCACCAGGGCAATCCAAGAATACTGGAGTGAGTAGCCTATCCCTTCTCCAGCAGATCTGTCAGACCCAAGAATTGAACAAGGGTCACCTGCATTGCAGGCAGATTCTTTACCAGCTGAGCTGGGGTTTTGTCACCAGAAAGTCCAAGCAATAATTAGAAATTTGGCACCCTGAACTCCTGCCTTGACCTTTAGGGAGGAGACAGGAGCGAGAGATTGATTTATTCATCATTGGCCAGTGATCTTATAAATCATGCTTATGCAGTGAAGCATTCATAAACACTCTGTAAAAATTGAGTACTGGAGACCTTCCAGGCTGGGGAACACACCCCCGGGCTGGGAGTGTGGCATAGCGCAGCTCCACGGGGATGAAAGCTCCTGTGCTGAGGACCCCTCCAGACTGGAGACCTTCCAGGCTGGGGAACACACCCCTGGGCTGGGAGGGTGGCATAGCGCAGCTCCACGGGGATGAAAGCTCCTGTGCTGAGGACCCCTCCAGACTGGAGACCTTCCAGGCTGGGGAACACACCCCTGGGCTGGGAGGGTGGCATAGCGCAGCTCCACGGGGATGAAAGCTCCTGTGCTGAGGACCCCTCCAGACTGGAGACCTTCCAGGCTGGGGAACACACCCCTGGGCTGGGAGGGTGGCATAGCGCAGCTCCACGGGGATGAAAGCTCCTGTGCTGAGGACCCCTCCAGACTGGAGACCTTCCAGGCTGGGGAACACACCCCTGGGCTGGGAGGGTGGCATAGCGCAGCTCCACGGGGATGAAAGCTCCTGTGCTGAGGACCCCTCCAGACCGTGCCCTATGTACTACTTCATCCTCCTGCTCATCAGTGTCTCACAATATCCTTTATAAAAACCGTTAAGCATGAGTAAAATATGTTCCTAGTGCTGTGATTATCCTACCAAAATATTGAACCTGAGGAAGGGATTGTGGGTATCCCTGATTGATGGCTAGTAGGTCAGAAGTACAGTAGGTTTGAGACTTGTGATTAGCACCTGAGGTCAGTGTGGGGTCTACATCAACTCCGATTAGCTAGGGTCAGAATTGAATTCAGTTGCACACCCAGCTGGGGTCCAGAGGACAAGGTAATTATTTCATGTGAGAGAAAAACGCATACATTTGGTATCAGATATATGGATAAAAAATTGAATTATGGTATATTATATTTGAATTAAATTTATAAATCCATAAATTTAATACCAGTATTTGATAAATATATTCTTAAAAGAAAATTGCAAGTCACTTATTAATATAATATAAATATAAATAAAAAATCCAAATAGAACAATAGCACATAAACCTAGCAAACAATGCACTGTAATAAAGTGTAAAATACTTTAAAAATGATAAATTATAAGCAAATGATCACATCAATGATTGTGAAAGATATTTTATTACTTACTAATACAATGTATAACATTTAGTACAATCATGGCATACAAAGTCTTTACAATTTAATGCTCATAACAACCTTGCAAAATATGTGCTATGTTAAGCAACATAGGGATAGTAAAATGGTATGAAAGATCATAGTAATATATTTCTAAAGTATAATATTTTTCAGTTTCAACTGAAGTAATCAAATTGATAGTTATTGTTTTACTGTAATCATCATTATAATTTTTGACCTGTAGAAAGGCTGGAAAAAAAATGAGCCAATTGCTATAGAAGCATTAGAAGAGCTACCATAATGTCATTTGAAATGTGATGTTATACCTAAGAAAGTTAAATAAATAAAGCAGAAACACCTATGTTTAATATTATAATATAGTCATACGACTGGATAAAAAATAAAAATAAATAGCTTTTCTCACAATTAATAATAGTACTTATTTTTAACAGTGATAATGGTATAAATTACAAATAAACTTAATAAAACACAAAGTTTCTATATGAAGAAACCTATATGTTCTTATGAAAAATATAAAACAAGACATGAGTGAATACTTCTTGGATGGAGCAGGTTTAGCATCATAAATATGTTAATTTTAAAATGATAAACAGATTTTAAACAATCCTGATTAGATTCTAACTTATGAAAAATTAAAATGACTTTAATATTCATGTGAAGGAAAATACTAGATATTAGCAAGAAAATACTATCAAAGAAGAATATTGAGTGATCATTTTGGTATGACTTGAAAGAGGACATATTATGTCACCATAATTATATCATAAGGCACTACTGTAAAATCAGATCGTCAGGTCAGTACAACAGAGGAGTGAATCTAGAAATAGATTTTATTATATGTAGGGATTTAATGTTTAATGTTTGCATGATATTTTAATTCAGCAAGGAAATAATAGTTTCCTTAATAAAGTCTGATCACATACTGTCTGGCCATTGAAACAAAATAAAGCTTGGGATTCTCCTGGTGGTCCAGTGGCTAAGACTCCACACTCTCAATGCAGGGGGCACAGGTTGATCCCTGGTCTGGAAATATGCCACAACTAAGAGTTCGCATGCCACAACTGAAGATTCTGCATGTTGTAGCTAAAGCCCTGGCACAGCCAAATAAGTAAATAAGAATTAAAGCTGCCGGAAAATAAAGTTTGCTCCTATATGGTACTAATAGATATAAAATTTCTGTATGGGCTTCCCGGGTGACGCTAGTGGTAAAGAATCCACCTGCCAATGCAGGAGAGGTAAGGCACGCAGGTTTGATCCCTGGGTTGGGAAGATCTCCTGGAGGAGAACATGGCAATCCATCCAGTACTCCTGCCCGGAGAATTCCATAGCATCACAAAGAGTTGGACACAACTGAGTAACTAAGTACAACACACACACACACAGGGTACAACACTCCTTGAAAAAATATTTATAATCAGCAGACAAATAGAGAAACCTGTATGGAGGTCAGGAAGCAACAGTTAGAACTGGACATGGAACAACAGACTGGTTCCAAATCAGAAGAAGTATGTTGAGGCTGTATATTGTCACCCTGCTTATTTAACTTCTATGCAGAGTACATCATGAGAAACGCTAGGCTGGAGGAAACACAAGCTGGAATCAAGATTTCCAGGAGAAATATCAATAACCTCAGATATGCAGATGACACGACGCTTAAGGCAGAAAATGAAGAAGAACTAAAGAGCCTCTTGATGAAAGTGAAAGAGGAGAGTGAAAAAGTTGGCTTAAAGCCCAACATTCAGAAAACTAAGATCATGGCATCCAGTCCCATCACTTCATGGCAAACAGATGGGGAAACAGTGGAAACAGAAGGATGAGATGGTTGGATGGCATCACCGACTCAATGGACATGAGTTTGAGTAAACTCCAGGAGTTGGTGATGGACAGGGAGGCCTGGAGTGTTGCGTTTCATGGGGTCGCAAAGAGTCGGACACGACTGAGCGACTGAACTGAACTGATACAGAAATTATTTTTATAAACTGACAAAAAATAAACCACTCAATAGACAAACAGACATTAGTAAACAAAGCAATAAGAGCAAATGCAAGTAGCCAGTAAACCTAAAGTAAAATGCTCAAAATCCCTAATGATCAGGGATTGTTGTTCAATCACTAAGTCATGTCCAGCTCTTTGCAATCCCATGGACTACTGCACACCAGGTTTCTCTATCCTTCACTGTCTCTCAGTTTCCTCAAATAAGGCCCTGAATTGGTGATGCCATCCTCATCCTCTGTCTTCCCCTTTTCCTCTTGCGCTCAATCTTTCCCAGCATCAAGGTCTTTTCCAATGGGTCAGCTCTTCGCATCAGGTGGCCAAAGTATTCGAGCTTCAGCATCAGTTCTTCTAATGAATCTTCAGGGTTGATTTCCTTTAGGATTGACCAACTTAATGGACATGAGTTTGAGCAAACTCCAAGAGATAGTGAAGGACAGGGAAGCATCTTGGTGTGCTGTAGTCCGTAGGGTCTCAAAGAGTCGGACACAACTTAGTGACTGAACAACAATAACAGATATGTGCGCACGCGCGCGCGCGCGTGTGTGTGTGTGTGTGTGTGTGTATGCATGAACATAATGCCTTTAAAAGAGCTTTACAAAATCTCTTTATGTTGTGTGTGTTTTCTTAGAATTATCCATCTGTTAGTAGACTATGATGTCTCTTAGGGGAATGATTCATCTTCATATAGTCAGAGTCTAACAGATGAATTAAAAGCTATGTGACTAGGGAAGCCAGCCAGATAATGTAAAAGAAAGATACTGGATAGTGGGAAATCTCAGGAAGTCAGGGGACAGCGATAGAATTCCCATATCTTATCATAAGGCGGCAACCCTGCTTGGTGTTAGGAGAATTTTGCCCCTTCTATGGAAATGAGTGATTTCAGCTTATGATCAGTTTCAGATTTTATGATTTTCCAAGAAAATCATGACATTAAGATTAGGTTATAAAATATCTCAACCTTCTGCAACTAAATACTTTGGACTATGGGACTAGGCCTCATCTGTTTGGAAAATTTGCTGTGATGAAATTCTTCTATGTGGTAAATACATGGGTATATTATGTTTTATAGAGATCAGTTTAATACAAAGAAAGATAAAGGAGAGACTATAAAAAGCATAATTGGATAGTATAACTTACATTATCTTTGTTCTGATACTGTTTGCATAATTGGGCTTTTTATAGGAACGCAGAGATTTTAGAGCTTCTGAAGAGGGCTTAGGGCATTGGCAGCCTGTGTTTCAGACTGAGAAAAGAACATTTTTTATTGAAATCAGATTTTGAAGACAACGTTAGCATTTTCACTTGTATGGATAATACATAGTACCTACATTAGAAAATACCATGTTTAAGTGTTAGATGTTTTGCTTATATTTATTTGACTATAAGTTTCTTCTCTTTTTTCACATTTAGAATCATAATGCTTAATAAGAGCAAAATCCCCCTTTCTAGCCCAAGTTAAATATATAAGCACATTACCTTCCTCTTGAGATCGATATACAAATATTTATTAATATGTTTGTAATATCTTACAGAATTATGATATTCTTATGAGCCAATGTTATAAAATTTATCACATCTCTTACCTCAAAATCAGTATCTCCACAACAGCTGCACATGCAACATGGACCAATAATTTTTAGTACATCCTTTCTATCCTCATTTTGAATTCTAAACTTTGGCAGAAATGGATGCCTGATCTGAGTAACATATCCTATTGGTACACCAGGAGGAGCATCTATTTCTATCTGAAAAAGTAAAAAAATAAATGTAATATATCATTATCATCATCATCACTATCATCAGATGTCTAATAAGAGCTCTCATCAGTATAGTCTTTATTTCCAAGTCTACTGAGGTATAATTAACAACTAAATTATAACATATCTAAGGTATACTATATGATGATTTGATGTACATTGTGAAATGACTACCACACTCAAGTTAACACAGCCATCACCTCATATAGCCACTTTTTTTGGTGTCAATAATTGGGGTTTACTCCTGGCAAATTTCAAGGACACAGTATATAGTTGACCCTTGAACAAAGCAGGAGTTAGGGGCACTGACTCCCCTGACCCTCACCTCAACCTCCCCACCCCTATCCTGCACAGTCAAAAATCTGCCTTCGCAGGCTGGCCGTCCATATCCAAGGTTCTTCATCTGAGGATTCAACGAGTCACAGATTAGGTAGTGCTGCAGCATGTGTTTATTCAAAGAGATCGATCTGAGGAGCCTGGTGGGCTGCAGTCCATGGGGCCGCTAAGAGTCGGACATGACTGAGCGACTTCACTTTCACTTCTCACTTTCCTGCACTGGAGAAGGAAATGGCAGCCCACTCCAGTGTTCTTGCCTGGAGAATCCCAGGGACGGGGGAGCCTGGTGGGCTGCCGTCTGTGGGGTCGCACAGAGTCGGACACGACTGAGCGACTCAGCAGCAGCAGCAGCGTGTGTGAATGGCCCAGTGAAGTTCAAACCCTGGTTGTTCAGAGGTCAACTGTAATACTGTTAACTATAGTCATCATGATATACATCAGAGGTCTACACCTTATTTATCTTATAACTGAAAACTTTTACTGATGACCAAAATCTCCCCATTTCCCTCACCCCTGAGTTCCTTGCAACCACCATTTTAATCTATTTACAGGAGTTGAATTTTTTTTTCACATTTAAGTGATAACCACACTGTATTTGTGTTTCTCTGTTTGATTTGTTTCATGCAGTATAACACCATCCAGATATATACATATTATCACAAAGGCAGGATGTTTTCTCCATTTTTGGCTGAATAATATTCAATTGTGTGTGTATGTACAGATGTGTATATAAATGTGATCTCTCTGTATAGATATAGATCTATAGATCTATATGTGATCTAGATCTATATCACATATAGATCTATATGTGATCTATTTATATATATACACACACACACACACACATACTTAATCCATTCATCTGTCAACAAACACTTAGGTTGTCTCCATATCTTTACTGTTATGAATAATGCTGTAATTAACATGGAATGAAGATATCTTTGAAAACCTGATTTAATATCTGTTGGATATATACACAAAAGTAGTATTAGTAGATCTTAGAGTTGTCCTTTTTTCAATTATCTGAGGAAACTCCATACTGTTTTCTATAACGGCTTTACCAATTTGCATTGCTAACAAGAGCACACAAAGGTTCCCTTTTCTTCTCATCCTTACCAATTTGTATTTCTTGTCTTTTAAAAAAGAGCTGTTCAAACAAGTGTGATGTGGTTTTGATTTGCATTTCTGATGATTAATTATGTGAGCACCTTTTCATATATGGGTTGGCCATTTGTATGTCTTTGTTGACAAAATATCTAGGTCCTTTGCTCACTTTGTAAGGGCAAGATACTGTTTTATAAACACTTAATTCACACTATATTCTTAGAAGGTTGGTTCTATTATTCCTATTTATAGAGGAAATAACTTAAGGAACAGAGAGGTTAATTAACTTATATCCGATTCCCCAGCTGCAAAGTGGAAGAGATGAGATACCAACTTGGGGAGGTTGCATACACAGTCTTCACTGTGAAGCACTGCTCTGCTGGTCTTATGTATTTTAAAATATCTGTACCTACAAAAAAATGTCTAAATTATCCAGAACTCTTTCTTTAAACGCATTTAAAAACAGTAGTTTAGATATATGGACAGAGCCTTGGTCACTGGGGGTTTTCAAAGATAAGTGGCAATAGTGCTAGGATGGAAAGAAAACAAGGCCTAGAGTCTTCATTCTGCTATACAGTTGGGCCACTTTGAGAGTATCCCAGAATGCTCATCGTAACTAAGGGCTTCCTAGGGATGTTTTAGATCAATAATATATTGTATGTTAATGAGCTCTATAGATTGTCGAGCATATCCATCAAATTCTGGTTTCCTCAGATCTCTTATTATAGATATTATACTTAATAAATGTATGCGGAATGTCATTCCTAAATGACATGGGAAAAGAATAATACAGTATGGACTTCGGTTATCTTTTCAAAATAAGTACAATATTAGACATAAATCTCTGTGTGCCCGTGCCTCTGTCTGCTCTGCTCTCATGGATCACTGAGTGGCCCAGGCAGTTCTGATCTCAGACCAGTGGAGACATAAGCAAAGGGCAACATCCTATAAACACTCTGTGACCTGGCACCTCCCCCTGAGATCCTTGTTATCTGTCAGAGGGCTGTCAAATACTATGAAAAAAAAACACCTGGTCTTTGTGGATTGAAGGTGCCCAAACTTGCATGGCCCTATTACACGGACTCAAAGGTATAGTGTTGTTCAGTTGCTAAGTCCATATTCAATCAAATAAGTCCATCAAAGTCCAACTCTTTGCAACACCATAAACTGCAGCATGCCATGCTTCCCTGTCTTTCACTGTCCCCCCAGAGTTTGCTCAAACTCATGTCCACTGAGTTGCTGATGCCCTCTAACCTTCTGATTTTCTATCACCACCTTCTCCCCCTACCCTCAATGTTTCCCAGCATCAGGGTCTTTTCCAATGAGTTGGCTCTTTGCATCAGATGGCCAAGGTATTAGAGCTTCAACTTCAGCGTCTGTCCTTCTAATGAATAGTCAGGGCTGATTTCCTTTAGGATTAACTGGTTTGATCTTGCTGTTCAAGGAACTCTCAAGAGTCTTCACCAGCACCACAGTTCAAAAGCATCAGTTCTTAGGCGCTCAGCTTTCTTTATGGTCCAACTCTCACATCTGTACATTACTACTGGAAAAACCATAGCTTTGTACAGATGTATGTCAGCAAAGTGATGTCTCTGCTTTTTGATACACTGTCTACGTTTGTAATAGCTTTTCTTCCAAGGAACAACTGTCTTTTAATTTCATGGCTGCAGTCACCATCTGCAGTGATTTTGGAGCCCCAAAAATAAAGTCTGTCACTGTTTCCACATTTTCCCCATCTATTTGCCATGAAGTGATAAGACTCGATGCCATGGTCTTCATTTTTTGAATGTTGAGTTTTAAGCCAGCTTTTTCACTCTTCTCTTTCACTTTTATCAAGAGGTTCTTTAGTTCTTCTTCACTTTCTGCCATATGGGCAGTATTATCTACCTATCTAAGGCTGCTGATATTTCTCCCAGCACTATTGATTCCAGCCTGTGCTTCTTCCAGCCCAGCATTTCCCATGATGTACTCTGCACGTAAGTTAAATAAGCAGGGTGATGATATACAGCCTTGGCGTACTCCTTTCCCAATTTGGAAGCAGTCTGTTGTTCCATGTGCAGTTCTAACTGTTGCTTCTTGTCTTGCATAGAGATGTCTCAGGAAATGGGTAAGGTAGGGTGGTATTCCCATCTCTTCAAGAGTTTTCCAGTTAGTTGTGATCAACACAGGGAAAGGCTTTAGCATAGTCAGTGAAGCAGAAATACATATTATTTTGGAATCCCTTTGCTTTTCTATAATCCAGTGGATGTTAGCAATTTAATCTCTGGTTCTTCCACCTTTTCTAAATCTAGCTTGTACATCTGAAAGTTCTTGGTTCACAAAGTGCAGAAGACTCGCTTGAAAGAGTTTGAGCATTACTTTGCTAGCATGTGAAATGAGTGCAATTATATGGTAGTTTGAACATTCTTTGGCCTTGCCTTTTTTGAGATTGAAATGAAAACTGACCTTTTCCAGTCTTGTGGCCACTGCTGAGTTTTCCAAATTAGCTGGCATATTGAGTGCAGCACTTTAACAGCATCATCTTTTAGGATTTAAAATAACTCCACTGGAATTCCATCACCTTCTGGTGCTTTGTTCATAGTAATACTTGTTAAGAGCCACTTGACTTCATACTACAGGCTCTAGGTGAATGACCACACCACTGTGGTTATCTGGGTCATTAAGATTTTTTTTTTTTGTACAATTTTTCTGTATTCTTGCCAACTTTTCTTAATATCTTCTGCTTCTGTTAGGTCCCTGCTGTTTTTGTCCTTTATTGTACCCATCTTTGCATGAAATTTTCTCTTGGTAGTTCCAATTTTCTTGAAGAAATCTCTCGTCTTTCCCATTCTATTGTTTTCCTCTATTTCTTTGCATTGTTCACTTAGGAAGTCTTTTTTTATCTCTCCTTGCTATTCTCTGGAACTCTGTATTTAGTTGGGCATATCTTTCCCTTTCTCTTTTGCCTTTCGCTTCTCTTCTTTTCTCAGCCATTTGTAAGCCCTCCTTGGACAACCACTTTGCCTCTTTGGATTTCTCTTTCTTGGGGATGGTTTTGGTTATTTCCTCCTTTACAATGTTACGAACCTCTGTACAATGTTACGAACCTCTGTCAATAGTTCTTCATGCCCTCTGTCTGCCATATCTAATCCCTTGAATTTATTTATCATCTCCACTGTATAATCATAAGGAATTTGATTGCAGTCATACCCAAATGATATGATTGTTTTCACAAATGTATTACTTTTCCTCAAATGGAGAACTGAAAAACACAGGAATTGAAATATCTCAGAAGCTAGCTGTCTGTAGCATGGGGAATTTTGAGATGAACACGTCTGGTCTTTTCCTCACTCTTCTTTTCACTTGCCTCTGGAGTGGCATTTGAAGCTATTCTCTGTGGAACCCTCCTCTGGGTTTGGTCAGGCCCTCATGGTCACTTCAGCTGAGGGACTTGACAAAGACGCCCTACCTTCTCAGCTCTCCCGGAAGATCAGAAAGTCTAGTCCCTGAGATCTCTGATCTCACCCCAAGGGGGCACACTGCTCTGGAATATGGGGCTAATTGCTCAGTCTTTTCCACCTGCCTTCTTTCCTACAATTCACTCTCAAGCATAAACCAGTAGCTGCTGGACCACTTTTCCTTCAAATCTCATTTGATTCTATAGGTTCACTGAAAGGGTGAAAATTTTTGCTGAGCTACTTTACAAAGTACTCTGTTAATTGCTTACTGACCTCCTGAAGGCAGCAGGGGATACAAAAGCAGTTAAGTCTTAGTGGTCTCTCCAGAGTTATGACTTCTCGGCCTAGAAGATCAAGAATCCTCATGGTAAAAGGCCTAGAGGCCCCACAGGAATATCGGGTACAGCAATCAGTATCCTCTACTGCAAAGTAAATCTTCTGTCCGAGGCTGTTCTTAATTTCATATTTGTTATTTGTTTTAATATGTACAATGACTGAAAAAGGATAAAACCATCATCATCATCATGTTAAAAATTCAGATTAGATTAAAATATTTTTAGATATTACATTAGATGATATTTCATATTACATAGGGCAAGGTGTTTAGGGATGAACTAGTATTAGAAAAAAGGGAAAGAGAGAAGGGGCAGTTTTAAGGTACTGGTAAATTAAGCAATCCATGTGAGACACATAGGATAAAACAGTATCCTCTGTTGCAGAGTGTATTCTCTATTAAAGACTATTCTTAATTTTATGTTTGTTATTGTTACTCATTATGACTAAAACCATGGAAGAGGAAACCATAATCACCACTGTTAAAAGAATTTTAAATCTAAATATTTTAGACTTACATTTTTTAGACACTACTTTAGATTATATTTCTTGAAAAGTGAGAAGGAAAAGGAAAAGTGTTTGGAGATGATCTAGGCAGAGGAAAAAAAAGACAAAGAAAACTAGAAGGAAATGGTATTAAGATACTGAGAAATTCAGTATCTATGTAAGAGTATCTATGAGTATCTATGTGAGACATGGAAGAGAAAACAGCTCACATCTTCCTAATCCCATGGACCACGTCAGAAGGGGAGACTTTGCTGTGAGGGATGGTCACAGTCATGCTGAGTGTATGCAGAAAATGTCTACTTGTCCATGTATTCAGCTAGAGAGGGGAATATAGGATGGTTGTTACATTTATGTGCCTTACAATATTATATTAAGTAAATGGGCTTAAGATTTTGTTTTATGAACGAGGCATCACTTGTCTTTCTGCACTGTGTGAGCAATGTATGAGAGGGCTTTCTCTCAATGAGCACATGTGAAAATGGAAGGGGAGGTCGAACCTGCCCTGGTACCCTTGTTTATTTCAGCAGTCATTGTTCAGAAGGGGCAGGTGGGATTAAACAAGGGGAAGAGGTGCTTGGCAACCAAGACTACAAGTCACAGGACATCTAGACCACTGGCATCCTAAGTGCACTGTGTACCTGAGTGGGGGCTAATGTCTTTATGGGGGGAAACAGAGGTGCTCTGAATACTGACACCCATGTGGTCTCTTACCGAAGGGCTTCCCCTATTGAACCACACTTTGGAAACTCTCCTTGTTTAAAGCCAGGAAGGAGCAATGAATGGTCCCACTTGTCCACAGCCATCATTAACCTGGGTCAGAGGATGGTGAAGCCACCAAATAGTGGCTGAAAGTGGTTAAATGATATGTATAGGGACCAAAACCACTCTCTTGTATTGTTGTGGACAGACTATTAGTCAGAAATGTCCTTCGCAAATTTTATCACTATGCCTTCTCTTAAGTGTCTTTGCTCTAATTCAGACCGGATTTTACCTTTAAAAGAACCATCCTTGACGTTGCTATCTCCCATTCAATGTCTGATGAGAAAAATTTTAATTGATTCAAGAGATGAAATCTGTTACCTAAGTGTTTCATTAAGCAGCTAAATCTCAAAATTCTTCAAAAATCATCTTTTTTATCTTTAAAATGAGTTCCAAGGGCTTATATAATCCTTAAATTTTCTTCTGGTTACTTACAAAATGACATCAAGACAAAGAATCTATGGTTGTGTCTTTATTAAGTTTTGAAATATGGAAAGGAATAAGTGCTGGTCATAGCCTCATATGCTAAAAATAAACTGAGTAATCATCATCACTTTATACTACTTTTAAGGTTATAATGTAAACTTCCATTTAGAGACAAAAAGAAAAGAAGAAAATTAAAGACGTTCCTTTTAAAAAAACTGAAGAGTTATCAAGCAATAAATTTCTTAATTTATATTTAATGATAAAGACATACATATATTTCACAAATATGTATAACTTTTTTATACATAAATTATAAATGGAGTCCTGTATAATATATGTATCTGTCTGAGGGTTTTATAATCTCAATAATGTATGCTTTAGAATATCATATTTTTAAAAAATCAGAATACAAATGATTAAACGTCAAAGAGCTCCTTTTGAGAGAAAACTTCATTTCAAGAATCTCAACAAAACCAAGAGCATTATAAATATCCAATACTATGCATTTTAAATAATGCTTATTGAAAATTATACTCTTAAATTTTTATTGAGATGCTATTAATGTATAGCATTGTATTTATTGGTTTTCAATATACATCATGATTATTCATGCATCTACATATAGTGTGGATTCCCTGGTAGCTCAGATGGTAAAGAGTTTGCCGGCACTGCAGGAGACCTGGGATCAATCCCTGGGGTCGGGCAGATCCCCTGAAAATGGAAATGTCAGTGTTCTTGCCTGGAAAATCCCATGGATGGAGGAGCATGGCGGGCTACAGTCCATAGGTGACAAAGAGTCGGACACGACTGAGCGACTTCCCTTTTACTTTCTACATAAAGTGTAATGATTACTACAGTAAGTTAACATGATCATTTAAGATACTCTCTTAGCAACTTTCAAATATATAATACATTGTTGCTAACTATAGTCACCATCCTGTAAATCGTATCCCCAGGACTTCTTTTACTTAAAACTGGAAGTTTGTCCTGTTCACCACTTTTACTCATTTCACCAAACCCACTGCACCCACTCTGTCAACCGCCAATCTGCTCTTGGTATCTATGAGCTCATTTACTTTTTTTAAATTCCACATATATTGAGATAAGATATTATTTGTCTTCTTTTTCTAGCATTTCATTTAGCATAATGTTCTTAAAATTCATCATGTTATAGATAGAAGGATTTCCTTCTTTTTCTGACTGAATAACATGCCATTGTGTGTGTGTGTGCCTGTCTCACATTTTCTTTATCTGTCAGTGGACACGTGTGTTAGGGAAATAAAATAGAAGTCGTCTTGTTCAGGCTTCAGAGGCAAAAGAGCACCGCAGCCTCTGACCTTGCTTCTGACCTTCCTGGATACTGTCTTGACTACTGCCCTGGGTGTCAGCCACACCTGCTGTGAGTTCCCAGAAGAGAAACACTGTAATAGATAGATAGTGAGGGGATCTTGGAATTTGTTAAATCCCTGGAGGAGGTCAGGCCAATCACTGCCTCAACTTAACAACATTCCAAGATTTGTAGAACAAAGCAAACAGCATTATAAAAATTATCATAATACCAGAGCTGCAGTTTTGCTCTTAGACTTATAATGATATCCATTTGTGGCCTGGGGATCATAAATGGGGGCCCAGAGACAGCAATCCAAAGTCTCATCCACAGAGCACTGCCTGGGACCTTTTCCCAACTGAAACTGCAGACTGCTGTCACACAGGACACCCAGTGGTGTTTGAGTCTGGATGTTGGCAAATTCAATTAGGTAATATAACCCAGCCAATGGGTTAATGTACAAAAACATATTTCTCATTCATGGTGGGACTTTTTCTTTACTACATCCCCTACTGCTTGGAAATGGTTTTCTGTACTATTTAATTTCTTGTTCCTTTGATTATCTTGTTTATTTTAACCATTTGGAATTGTTATTTGATTTATAGAATTTAAAAGACTGTGTTATTTTGTCCTGTTCCTATGCTCTTCATTCTAAACAACCCTGAGGCCAACTGTTAGGAAAATAAAATAGAAGTAGTCTTGTTCAGGCTTCAGAGGCAAAAGAGCACCGCAGCCTCTGACCTTGCTTCTGACCTTCCTGGACTCTGTCCTGACTACTGCAGTGGGTGTCAGCCATACCTGCTGTGATTTCCGGGAAGAAAACAGGATAGATAGATAGGGAGGGGATCTTGGAATTTGATATGTCTCAGGCGGAGGTCTGGTCAACCACTCCCCGGACTTAGCAACACTCCAAGATTCGCCCAAGGGTTGTGAGTGGGGCCGTATTGACAGCAGTCCAGAGTCTCAGCCTCAGAGGGGACATGCTGCCTGGGGCCTTTTCCCAGTGGGGTTCTGGACCGCTCTCACACAGGACTTCCCACTGCTGTTTAAGTCTGGATGTTGGCAAATCCAGTTTGATGACATATGTACTACTGCTCTCCTCTGCTGTTTCTTTTTCTTTTTTGCCTTTTAATGTTATTATATTAAAAGTAGACTATATAGTTCTCTAATAAATATTTGTATTGTTTATTTGTATATAGAGAAGGTGTAAATCACTCAATCGTGTCCGTCTCTTTGCACCTCCATGGACAGTACAGTCCATGGGCTTCTCCAGGTCAGTGCACTGGAGTGGGTACCACTTCCCTTCTCTAGGGGATCTTCCCAACCCAGGGATCAAACCCAGCTCTCCTGCAATGCAGGCAGATTCTTTACCAGCCAAGCCACCAGGGAAGTTGTGTATAATGAGTGACTTACTTTTTTTTAACAAATCCTTTGAACCTGAGACAAAAGTGGAAACTTTCAGTGAAACAACATAAGTTGTTACCAAGTCTTGGCTGTGGTAAATGTGCTGCAGTGAGCATGGGGATGGAGATATATTTCCTTCCAAGGAGCAAGTCTTTCAATTTCATGGCTACAGTCACCATCCACAGTGATTTTGGAGCCCATGAAAATAAAATCTGTCGCTGCTTCCACTTTTTTCCCTTCTGCTTGCCAAGAAGTAATGGGACCAGATGCCATGATCTTAGCTTTTTTTTTTAATTGGAGGATAATTGCTTTACAATATTGTGTTGGTCTCTGCCATACATCAACATGAATCAGCCACAGGTATACACATGTCTCCGCCGTCTATGGGGTTGGACAGAGTAGGACACGACTGAAGCGACTTAGCAGCAGCAGAAGCCTCCCTCTTGAATCTCCCTCCCACCTCCCACCCTATCCCATCCCTCTAGGTTATCACAGAGCACCTGATTTGAGCTCCCTGCTTCATACAACAAATTTCCACTGGCTATTTTACATATGGTAATATACATGTTTACATGCTACTCTCTCAATTTGTCTCACATTCTCCTTCCCCTACTGTGGCCGTAAGTCTGTTCTCTATGCCTGAGTCTCCATAGCTGCCCTACATATAGGTTCATCAATACTATCTTTCTAGATTCCATATAAATTAGTTAATATATGATACTTGTTTTTCTCTTTCTGACTTCTCTCAGTATAACAGGCTCTAGGTTCATCCACCTCATTATGACTGACTCAAATATGTTCTCTGTTATGGCTGAGTAATATTTCATTCTATATATGTACCACAATTTTATCCATTCGTCTGTTGATGGACATCTAGTTTGCTTCTATGTCCTAGCTATTGTTAATAGTTCTGCAATAAACATTAATGTATATGCATCTCTTTCAATTATGGTTTTCTCAGGGTATATTCCCAGTAATGGGATTGTTAGGTCATAAGGTAGTTCTATTCCTAGTTATTTTAAGGAATACCCATACTATTCCCATAGTGGTTGTGTCTGTTTACATCCCCACAAATAATCTAGGAGGGCCCTCTTTACCCCATGCCCTCTGCAGCATTTATTATTTGTAGATTTTTTTTTATGACGGTCGTTCTCAACAGTATGAGATGAAACATTATTGTAGTTTTAATTTGCATTTCTCTAATAATTAGTGATGTTGAGCATCTTTTCATGTGCTTTTTTGGCCCTCTGTATGTCTTCTTGGGGGAAATGTCTGTTTAACCTCCCATT